TAGCACTTGCCAGATTTCTGTACAAGAACAGCAGTGCCCTGTTTCCAACCACTTTAGTTGAAAAGGTGCCCTAGAAAGCACCAGAGAAAACAACAGTGAAAAGAGCAAACAAATCCATCCCTCACCACATGCTTACTGGGTTCCTGAAATAACCAAATCACTTAATCAGCAAAGTGATACTATGACATTATAGTAATATGGAAATTCAAAGACTGGATTATTTCATTTCAGTAGGTTTGTTATGGGAAATAAAGTAGTAAAGAGTGAATATTAGAAGAACAACAAATGACTGATGCTTTCTAAAAGAAAATATAGGATTAACTGTGCTTGAATGTTATAAAAATTAGTTACCCAAATGGGAGGGGGCTATGGGAGAGACTCCAACAAGAACACTACAAATCTGACAATTATTTGTTACAAGCTTCAATGAAACCAATGATCTGAACAGAGCAAACATCTGATGTTCTGTAGACCATATTAGCTTCTGATTTATGCTGCTGGTAGTATTAGGGATGGCACAAAAATGGTCAAGTAGAGATAAAACCTCCACCACAGGGAGCAAGGCTGAATAGCACACTTGAACACCACCAACATCTGTGAGAGTGCAGATAACAGAAATAGCAGCCCAGAATTAAAACTTAATGAGAAATGCTGCACATGTGGGCTTCAAGTCTCACTCCTTCTGGCACAGGTATTTCTGATTTAATAAAGTGCTCTGCATCTCCACCTGCACAGAAGCCACAGATTTCTAGAGGATATCATAAATATCCACTACATAAACAGCAAAAAAAAAGTTCTTTTAAACCATGTTGGAGGACCATTTCTATCATAGTAAAAAGATGGCAATGTCACCTCACACCCCTCAGCTAAGACAACACAGAACTCAAAGCTTTCAATTCACAGGGGATTTCTGAATTAGGACTTTTGGCTAGGATCTCTGCATGCTTCCCCTCAAACCACATCACCAGGCAGCCACAAGCATCCTCACATGAAGGACTGCATTTGCACCAAGGAACCCGCTGCACTGCACACCATTGGACAGGGCTGGGGTCCAGCCCCTTGTTCTAGGAGGCCTCAACCAGTTCCGCATGAAACAATTACTGAACAAAAGTGAAAATCACTCAATTAACTTGAAACATCTGACTTGTTTTCCAATTACATCTTTGTCACCTTTCCAGAAGGATTCTCAAGCCTCCCTGACAGTAGAAAAGCTTAATAAACCTGTGAAATCTATTCTCAGAAATAGCCAAGAATTAATTGCCACAGAAAAAAAAAAAAAAAAGCTCTTCTAATAAAGACAGAACAGAACAAACCACTTGGGCACAGTAGGTATATTTCAACAATAAAGATATCTAATTAGTCTTCTTGGTCATTACAATGAGTAAAACATAAGCAGTAACAAAGATAAAATGAAACTCAGGAAATGTAGAACACACCATTATGGTTTGTGTCTTTCTTCTGCCTCTTTTGAATATCTATGTCACGCTTTCTTCTCTAAGAATTGCCTGAAGTTGAAAACACAAGTTGTCCAGGCCTGGAAATATCTGGTGGTAAATCACCACTGAGTCAATGATTAAATAAAACTATCCCATCCTTGTTAAAAGATGTCATACTGCACAGTCAAACTTTCAGAAACAAATCTAATAAGTGATTAACTCCTAAGCGTTATCGACAGCATGCTGCTGATTCCTCTCCTAAAGCTTACGACCACATGCAAAACGTAACACTTCCAAGTAATGTCCAGATTATGTAGTAACATCAGGCCTATTGTAATCAGCAAACAGGAACATGGTACCTCGCACCGCATCACGCTCCCCAAGGACCGACTGATGAAAGATGCTGGCAGCTGCTGAAAGGAGAAAAGCTCAATGAATTATACAAGCTGCATTAAAGCGGCTTTCACATTCGCTTCACAACTGAGGGACAAAGATTTTGAGGAGGTAAACAGAATCTTAAAACACAGCATTGTCATGAAGTGCAATATTATAGGGACATTTCGATTATTCACCACTGCCAGCCTCCTCCTGTTACATTAACTCTGCAGATGAAGCCTCTATTTTCTTTTTGAGACCTTGATACTTGTCACTTGCTAATAAGCTCTTACCAGACTCAAACACCAGCTATATTAAGGAAGAAACAACTTCAAAAGGAGAGAGACCAAGGAGGAGACATTGCATTGATACAATAATCCCAGCACCACCTTGCCTATTGGGTTGATTATTTTGCATTTCTTTTATAACTCACTTGAAATTTTCACAGCTGCTTTTTGGTTTTAGCAGTTTAACTACATGACATTGGATGGCAGAAAACCTGGATGAAATCATCTGATATATAACAGAATTACACATATTATCATCCTGTTTGGAAATATTATTGGGTACAGGCCAGATAATCAGAGTTTTAATTAACGGCTAATTAGAAACATGGGCCTTCTCTTAGAGACTCCCAGTAATCTCTAGATGTCTCCAAGGTTGTTATCACGTCTTTTACAACAACTATTTTGCTCTAATTGGAGCTATACTTCTTTCCCCACCTGTCTTGCCCCACTCTGGCTTCTCTGGGTACACCTCCAAAATGTTGCAATGGAGAAGTTTGGTCAGAAAAGTCCTAAGAATTAAATTACTCTAATTACAATACATGGAAAATGTTGATTTATTTTTCCCTAAAGCTTAAGTTAAATTTATGCTTCTATTTACTGGGAATTGGGATCTGAAAGCTCAATAAACTCTTTCAAGAAAAAAGGAGATACAACTGTATTTGAAGGATGTTCCATTTTAACTGTATGCAAGATAGAAATATCAAAGTTTTCCGTTATTCTGGTAAAAGAATTTCCCCATTACCTCTGCTTGAAATATCACTCAGTTGAGCTTCTTTAAGGGGAAGGAAGTGGTCAATGCAGCATTCACCTTTGCCCCTTGGGCAACCTGTTTTTTATTAGCTTTGCCCTACAGAGTTGAATAGTGCAGGTGGAAGAAGAGAGACAACTGAGATTGTTCTAGGGCTCGAGGGAACACTAAACCATCCAGAGACATACCCCTGGGACTTGAAATTGCTCGGTATCACTGCAGCTGTCATCCAGCTGCAATCACAAGACAGTGTTTCTCAATTGGTATGAAGAAGATATCTATTACACGACGCCGGATACACTGATACATTCTGCTGACATTGCCAGAAACATTTATTTTAATATAATGGACTAAGTAGCCAAGGTAAATGTAAGTCTGACCTTGAAGAAAATAAATAGTTACGTAGCAGATAGAATAGGCATTGAAGGATATATACAGAAATATATCTACATAAAAGCAGTTCACTAGTAATCCAGCATTAACATAGATGCTACTTCCATCCAAGTCAAAGTGATTTACTCTTATTTAACCCAACTCAGAGGGGAATACATGGGTGCTGGCTAAGGTGGATGCATGCAGAACATAACAGATCAGTTCATGTCCCTGAAATGCTTTCTGGAAGCATCAGCAGCAAGCACGCTAATTACTCACCAACTCCTGATTTTCGTGAATGAGAGGGGTAAGTCCCCAGCTCCATCACAGTGAGCCCTAGGGCAGCATGTGCACACAATGCACATTATCCTGGTGATTAGGATGCTTCAAGTAGCTGACAGTCTATATTCCTGCTCCTTGCCTCAGCAAAGCTGCACTGTGATTTACCTCTGAAGCACCAAGTAAAGAAACAAGCCAGGCACTTTGCTGGCTTTTGCTATTTGGATAATTTAAAACACCTTCGTGTTCTACCTTTCCGTCTTCTCAAGCATAAAAGGAAACACAAAATCTTTTTTGGGAATCTGTATGGTTATTATCCAGGCACATGGAGGCACTGTGCTATGCCTCAAGCTAAGAAATACAGAATCTTTGCTTTTCAAAGTGGCTGAATCAAGCCTCAGGAAACACTGAATTGATACAGCCCAGACACACAAATCATTTTCAAGTAGACAGTCAATCCCATTTCTCTATCCATTTATATCCAAGAACCTAAATGCTTCTTCTCTGCTTTGACCAGGGATATAGCCCGACTTGGTAAAAGCTTTCTGATGCAGCAGAACAACGTACGTGGATTTTTACAATCTGAGTCACTCCAAGAATTATGCGTCTGACATAGTTTGATCCAAATTATAGGCAGAAAGGCAGTATTTGGATAAGGAGCCTTATCATTACACAAGTAAACTTCAGAGCTACTTTTGTGTTATACAAAATGTGCCATGCTTTTGCAACTGACTTCAAAGGAACGATCAGGAATGATTCCTGATGCTGTAAACAATCCACTCTGCAAAGCTGTTAAATAAAAGAAGAGTCAACATCAGTTCTAGTCCACACCTTTCCAGTGATTACAAGGCAATTTTTTATCTTCCCTTTTTCTTTTCCATGCTTACAGATATCTCCATTTGTCACAGTTCTGATCCTACAACACTCTGGACTCATCCAGTTACAGCTAATAAACACACTATTTGACTCTTTCACTGTTTTGGATGGAAACTTTCCCAGGTCTTCCAGAGAAATAGCCCACTGCCCACCTCCTTGTACTCTCCACATCCTCATGCTCTTCCCTGGACCCCAGGTGTGTTTCTCCTACAAACAGATCCAAACAGTTACTTCTGAGCACTGAAAATAAACTTTACCCCTAGTTCAACCAGTGACCTGTTCCTGGAACAATTTAAAAGACGGACAGCATTATTCATTAAGGTCTCAACCAAACAGTTCTCTCAAGAAAGATCATAGGAGCCCTTTGACTTTTGGTCCTAGAAATGCTGGAACTCTGCCCCAAAAGCACCAGCCCTACCTTACCTTTCTTCTCTCCACAGTAACCACTGTAATCTCAGTACTGTAACCGGCTCAAGACTCCAATAATTAGGTTTTCTTTGCCATTTCACCCTTACCATTCTCACTAAGCAGGTAAAACAACACACTTCTCACAGACCTGCCCTCTCTTTTCATAACCTCCAACTTTATTTTTATCTTTAAAAATACCTTCATGCTTCTACAACTCACCCCATTTGTTCTGCATAGTACTAAACTTCTGATTATTCATTTTTCACATAGTAAATCCCAGAAGCAGTTCTATAACACAGTAGTGAAAAAGCAGCTGCTTTTCTTGTTCTGCCTTTTCTACCTGCATCTTAATAGAGTCCAGGTGTTTTCCATCACATCCAATGAGAATACAACTAAATAACGAATCACAGCTGAACTGAACGCTTATCCTCCTTAATCACACTGGACCTGAATTCTTGGTATCTTAAAAATACACGAGATAATGCTGAATGCTATGTTAGTTCATCTGTAGACTTATCAAAATTGTATAAAACTACACAGTTATATATGAAACGTAAATAAAAAGTTGGAGAAAGTAAAACAGTGGTTGCTGCGATAACAGCACTTGCGTGGTTTACTATGCTGAGGAAAGCTTATGCTGCCTTTGAGCCAGGCATCTCTTTCAAGTAGAATGAGTTGCTTCTACAGATATCTGGGTAACATTTAGCCAAAGCACTGCAGACGGATGGTGGTTCTTAGATCTCAGTTTTAGAGCAAGTGCTTAAGTACTTCATAAATTTCAAATTAGTGTCTAGGTCTTGTGGGGAGGATCCGGTGATGGAGTTTATAAAGTTATAACCACTGCCATCAGATAAAGCTTAAAAGAAAATGATGGATATGTCCAGGCTTTGCTGCCAATGGGTAAATGAGGAACGCAACAAACAGAACTGGAAATGATATCAATGTAGATTCTGTTGTTTTCTTGAAATTTGTTGCAGCCAGTTTAAGTTGAATACTAAATAAGCATTTGTCTGACTACTTAAAAGTCTCATACGTATTGAAATGTTCAAGTTTTCAATAAACACAAATATAATAATCCTCTACTTAGCTACATGTACTACTGCTGCAAACAAAAATACTGTTTGAAAAATATTTTTATGTTAATATACTGGAAAATAGTACAACAAAGCAAGTGTGACAAAATTACAGATCTAAGAGCCAGTATGATATTATGTCATACTTAGTAGAAAACCAATACATAATAAATTAACACTTTCCAGGCATTCTGAAAGGACTCCCACCACTGCCTGGGCCAGACCTCTAATTTGTTTCCTCCAACATTTATTTTCCTATTTCTGCACATCTTTTGTTTTGCTGATGGTGAAAACAGATTAAAGTCATCATTATTTTTTTCCCATATATTTTCCAGAAGCATAGCACCCATCAGATCTGAAGCAGAATATAGTGAATATAGCCTATAATATGACATCATAATTTTGTATTTTATTTGCATATTAATGGTGCTGGTGGGAAGCACAAATTGAAAGCAATTATTAAAATATGTAAGTTGAATTTTCTTGCATAAGCCATTTTCATATCATGTCACCATAAAAAAAAAATTGTGATGAATGTTCCCCCTGAAGCTGACAAGTTACAAGGGCTTGTACTATGGGAATAATAACTCCTAGATTCATAAAAACGGTAATTACTTTATCAACCTTCTAGTCACATTGCAGACACATATACTGAATCACTCCAGAATAACACTGACATAAAATTAGACTTTATATTGATATTATTCTTTTTACCTGAGGTGGCCTTTAAAAGAAAAAACAAACTCCAATATATGACAAATTACCCTAGAACCAAACAATCAGGTTTGTCTCATATATCTGAACACTGAAGTAAGGCTGGATTGGGTGGGATAGGGAAAAAAAAGGAGATAGCAGAAGGAAAGAAGTACTTCAAGATGACAGTGGCCAATAAGTGACTACATGTTATGGCTGTGACGTTAAGAAGTTGGAGGCCCCTGATAAGACACCATCCTCTTGGACAGCCTCCTGGGAAGGACAAAAATACTCCATGAATGCAACCAGTTGAAAACAGAGGAGGATTAATTAGTTAAAGACGTTATGTGTTTGTGCCATGACCCAGGGAGGTGCCCCCTGTCCTTCATCCCACCTGGATCCATCCATCATTATCCCAGCTGCCAAGGGAAGCAATGGGCCCTGAAGCAGAGATTTGGTTGGCGGGGGAGACAAAAGGATTCAACACGTTTCTGCACAGTTTCCATTAAAACATATGGAATTACAATTATATGTGATTAGAAATGTGTGAGATTAGACACATTAATACAATTACAATTTTTCAAAGCTAAGCAGCAGACTGTGGCAGAAAACATCTTCAAAATAATACTGCTTTTGTGTGTGTGTGTGTGTCTTAGGTATAAAGCCATTCTGATTGTCCTTTCTGTATGAGCATGCACTGCATTTATTAAAAAGTTTTCATTGCATTATTTTAATTTCTAATCAGTCTTTATGCCAAGGCTCCAATACAGCTGGACGTTTTCAAGAAGAGCCTTTTGGAGATGGAAATCTCTGCAGAGAACTGTATCTCCCCTGTGAGCTTCCCAGCTAAATCCAGCCTGAAAAGAGGCAATAGCTCAGCCTTTGTTCCAGCTCAGTCCTTGACCTTTTTGTTTACAGTGCTAATAGGAATAGCAGTTAGTCAGAGTCAAATTGGCATTTCTGAGATGTGAATAATCACATGAGAAAACAGAGCGAAACAGTCGGCACATTCACAGCGCCTGCCTCGCTGAGCCATTAGCTCCTTATGATGTTCAGCCACTAGCACTGATCTATATAGGAATAGAGACAGTGACCTATAGGAGAAATAATCTGTATCCCATTACCAACTCTCTGAGACATTATTCCTTCCAAAGCCCCAGCTTTTCAATGACATCCTTCTAAAAAGGCTCTCTTTCATGTCACTTTTATCATCCTGACCTTGCTCTAGTGGGAATTTCAATTCTGTCCTTTGAGACATGCAGATGATGCAAAATCTCACCCTCTCCCCTTGCTGCACAAAGATCCAAAGATCCAAAGTCCAGCTCGCTACATGGGCTGTGCCCCTGTGCTGTGTGACAACCACGCAGTGCCTGCTCCCAGTCATGAGGCTGTGAGCATGTCCTGGCTATACTGCAAGGAAAATGGGCCTTTCTATAGGAAGGCCATACACTTTATATTTTAAATAGATATTATATGCAAAACAAATTTACAGAACTGTTTTTTGCAGAAGCATAAACTATCTCATTGTCCAAGGAGGTTGTGGATGCTCCATCCCTGGAGGCATTCAAGGGCAGGCTGGATGTGGCTCTGGACAGCCTGGTCTGCTGGTTGGTGACCCTGCACATAGCAGGGGAGTTGAAACTAGATGATCATTGTGGTCCTATTCAACCCAGGCCATTCTATGATCTCATTTGACAGTACTGTGGAAAAACTGCCTGATTGTTTTGTTTGTTTGTTTGTTTATTTGTTTGTTTGTTTTGCTGCGCAATTAGAGGTCACTGATTACAATCCTGGAGATCTTAACATATGTTTTCCACAGTACCCTGGAATACTACTTGAATGAACACACTCTGCACTAAACCACTGTGGCCTGGACTTCCTTAATTATGCCAGAATAAGACAAAGATGTCCCCAAAGCACAGCAGTGGCTTAAAAGCGCCCAGGTTTGCCCAGCTAATGGGGTCAAAACCTCTGCAAATGTCAGGTTCACAGGAATCATGACTCAAGGGCTATGGCCTTAAGTACAATGCAGAGAGGAGAGTTGTAATCGTGACACTTAAAACTATTCAGAAGAACAAAAACATGCATTAAGTGAAAATAGAGAGTACAAAAAGAACTACTGAGTGTGGGCTGTTTGCTACATCTACCCATGGTTTTAAGCTTCCCAATTCATAAACTCAGTTCTTATTGTAATTCAGGTCTGTTACAAAAAGGCAGCTATTTTTGGTATCTTGGTGCCAGCAACACGCAGGAAAAGAGTGAACAGTACCCGAGGAGATGACAGAGATTGTGTTAACCTGAATTTCTGATGCCACATTACTGTTCATTACTATGGCTTCGAAAAACAAGACCCTTGAGTAGTGGAGGACTAATTGAATTCCTACACAATTACGGGAGCATAATAATGATTTTAGCAAAACAAGTCAAAACTGTTGCAAAAAGAGAAGCAATTATTTTTTTTTCTACTTTGTTTTTGAAGCTTTCATCAGTAAGTACTAAAATATCTTCAAAAGTTCATAAAGCATTCTTGATATATTGGTGGAGTCATGGCCCTTTCTAACTTGATTTGTGTCCTCTACAGTTCCATCATTTGTTCTTTCCAAGTCTCACTTGGATGTGAGAAAAAACCTTATTTTGATTTATCAATAAAGTATATAAAAACGTTAAAAAAATTTCCACAAGAAAAGAAAAAAGGAGTTGCTGCTTTACTCTTAAATTCCCTGTAATTTGAATGTATTTAAATTTCAGATTAAGTTGATACAAAGAAAAGCAACATCATAGAAATGTTGTTAGCCATCTGACTTTCTAAGCAAAGCTATAGCCATGAAAGATTACTAGAAATCATGTAGTGCACTGCAAGTACAAAATGGAGTAAGAAAGGTCAAACTTGCAAGCAAATTTGTGATAAGAAAGAACTGCTTTGATGATTTTTGAAATCACCATAGTCATACTATTTGTGTCACTCACATGAGCTTGAATCTTTTTTAAAGTTATAATAAATTGAAAAATCCAATTTCTTGGATGAAATATTTTTATTTTTAAGTCAAATTCAAGCTTGATTGAAATGTACTTGCAGGATTTGCAAAGTAAGCCAAGTCTGCAAAGCAATCAAGAAATGTTGATGTAGGTTGCTGTAGGATAACGTGTCATACATGCCCTCCAAGTTTCCAAAACAAAGGGTCACAGAGAAGTACAGAGGAGGAGAACTCCGAGTTCACCATATCATGTAGACATATTCTGTTCTGGTGGAACTGATGTAATTAGCTGCTGAAACTGAACAGAAAAGATTTAAAGGTGTATTTGAGTAAGGATTAACAAAATTCTGAAAGCTCTGCCTCTGATCACAGAAAGCTGAACTAAAATAAGGATCCCAAACTTTCAAATGACTTTTAGCAATTCTGCTTTTCTTCCAGTCTGCATTAGCTGCTATACACACTCCCATGTAGGCAGTTAATGGTGACCACAGCAATCATTTGAGCCCAACCAAAGAAAATTCCTGCATCTATTTCACTCTGACAGTGGAGGAC